GGATTTGCCCGGGTAAATAAACTTTGATATTGTGATTTTTGTAAAGGAAAATTTCTTTAACAGCTTTGGATGGAAACCCCTCCCCCATAGCCAATTTCCTGTTAAGCATGACAAAACATAATTGCTGATGATCCCTAATGCAATATCCATGATCCAAAGCCTGATCAAATTGTTTTCATATTTACACTACAATTTGAAAAGCTAGGGGAAACATATGACCTGACCGGTAGGTAGCCAGCCCTCTCTGGGTTAGAACCTGAAGATATAATTTGAGACAAAAAAGAAAAACATCAAACACCTGACAAAGCCAATAACTGACTGATCATGCATAAATGACTCGTGCACAAATCTAATGCCGTACCTCTTTCTCGATCATTTCAAACGCAATCTTCTCAGTTGGGTCTAGTGCAGTGGGTGTCTTATCATCACTGATGCTTGAAAAATATTTACGAACAACCACAAAGACGGCAGTAACAGCAACCACACTGAGACCAATGAATACTGGAATCCTCTATAAATTTATATCAAATTATACTTTCAAAGTACATTACTTAATAATGCCGACCCTTGCCTTGTTTACTTTTTGCTTGCAGTTCTCCATTGTGATTCAACAATGCAAATCACAATAACGAAGTTCTTTGCCGCATTTTAAAAACTTTTGCCTGCTAGAAAACGTAAACAATACTTGTCAAGGCAAGGGGTCTTTGCATGCTTCAACACATATATGCAGAAAGCAATATAAGAGGCATAATAACATACGTTGCTCGAATCCATTCTGATTTCTTGGCCAAAAGATGAAAGTGAATTAAGTAATCCTGCTGTGATCTTTGAAAATTCTCTAATTTTAATAGAATTTTGACCAAATTATAAAACCGTACCAGCATATACCAGCCTTTGACACCAACTCCACTTTATTTCGAGATCAAGTGTTTCCACTTTGTCAGAGTGTGCTTCCGCGAGTGGATAAGATCTTTCGGATCTCTTTGATCAGGACCCCTGGATGTCGACCAGAGATCTGGACAAATTTCACAAAGTATTGAAATATGCATTTATGACGTTGTATATCCGCAAAAATTTGAGTTTTTTATTTGCGGTCCTAAGTTTGTGTATTTTATATATATTCTCAATACACTGGAGTAGACTTTGACTTTGGACTGGTCTGGTCTGGTCTGGTCTGGACCAGAGGCCAGTGGACGTTCTTTTACAGCTCTGCTTTTACAGTAATATTTTCGCTAATTTCCGATAATTATAGTTAATATAAAAACAACAAGAACGAGCTCGAAAGTTATAATGCACGAGATAATAATATACATGCATGCTACACTCATATTCACTGGCGTTTCTGGGAACGACTCGCTGTATTAGTTCATAGACCGGCCCAGTGTTTATAGTGTTCACAATGCAGGAGTGAGTTTTTCAAAGACGATTAAAATTACAGCGTTCGAGCCCGAAGAACGAATGCAATTTGAAGTCGTTGAAAAGCTCACGAGTGTATGATTTCCATGTTGCTCGAGAAAGATAATATGTCTACATCAAGTATTATATGCCCACCTATACTTAGCCTAGACTGTTTTATCTTTATAACTGTGTTTATCCTAACCCACCCTGTCAACTTTCCCTGTGGGAGGAAACCCAAAGTATTTTTAATACCATAGACTGGTGGGGCATTTGCCCCACGGGGCCCCTTCCTCTGCCCCACCACTGAAGAAAAAAATGGCCTATTGGCCTATTGCCCCAAAGCCAGGGCCCTATGAGCTGTATGAGTAAATGAGTTTAACATTGAAAAGAAGTTCAAAAAAAAAATTTGTTGGTGAGCATACTTAAACTTATGTTGTGTTTGAATGTTTAGCATGCAATTTATTACAAATTTCACCATTAAAACTTTGTTTTGAGAAATTGAGATTTTTGTTTAATGTGTTCTCAGAATGCAGGAAATGCTATTTCAGAGACCCAAATCTTAACATTTTCTGGGGGCATGCCCCCGGACCCCTAACTATATCTCGTGGCTGTGGTACTCGGCTCACACCTTCGGCGATAGCATATACTACCCAGCTGGGGGGAGGGCAAGGAAAATGGGCCCTTTGGCAGTTTTGTCCCCCACTAAAAAATCTTTAAAAAATACACTGAGCCTGACTGAGGAAACCGGAGCACCCGGAGAAAACCCACGACTTTTGGCAGAACGTACGTTGACTGACTCCATTCACATGAGTCCATAGCGAAATATTCAAAATGAATTTTTTCATTCTCTCTTTGAATGACAACAACTTAATACAAGTCTCAGCTGTCAGAAGTCAAGTGCCTCTGGCGCTAGGCACGTATTTTTGGCACTTTATTTCTTTTTTGGCACTGTGTTTCGATAAAATTGCACTCTTCTTAAATTGCTAATCAGAATCGAGCAATTGTTTCATGGGTATTAATTATCTAATTTTACCTATACCCAAATATTAGTATCAATCGCATATTATGCATGCATGCATGCACATGTTTTACATGTGCACTCGGGATAAGTGGATAAAGAAATAAACGGATAGCGAAATAAGCGGATAAACTAATATTTTGAAACGTTATCATAATCTGGGGTGGGTTGTATACAGGGACGCGGGAACCGTAGGGGGCAGGTGGGGCAGCCGCCCCCGTTGCCCTTTACCAGGAGGGGCAAGAGGGCAAATGTGCACTTTCAATTGAAATGACTGCCTTGGCGAAAAAGCGAATTTTCAGAAATTCTCAGTGCAATTAGCGAATTGTAGCGAATTGTCGGTGCAATTCTTTTACGAATTTGCTTCAGAAAACGCAAGAAATGCAGTCATCGAGCTTCAAGAATAGCACAATCGCCTGGCGGAGAACTCCCACACACCCCTATCATCCAATAAATAGAAAACATGATTAGGCGAAGTTCAACTCCCGATGTTTTGCAAACATCTCTTAGAAAATATCAATTCAAAAGTGCCCATTCACGAAAATCTGCCCCATTTGCCTTCACATCGTCCCGGCGTCCCTGGTTGTATAAAACTCGTAACCACTTTTTAACTCGGCTACGTTTCGCAGTTAAGTTGTAATTAACTTTATAAAATATATATGCGATTCCAACTCAAGTCACTATAGCTCAACTTTAACTACTTTAGTATACAACAGCAGGGTTTATTTTAACGTGCAGTTCTACACAAAATGTGCAGTTCTAAACCCATTTGTGCAGTTCTTAAAACTCAAATGTGCAGTCACCGGGAATGCGATAAAAGGTGTTAAATTAATCGCGACCGCGTGTGCCGTGCACGGATGAGGGACTATGGAAGAGTCAGAAACAAATACATGACTTGTTCAAAAATAATAAAATTCCAACAAAAAACTGTGTGAACAAATGTTTTAGTGATGAATTAGTATAGGCCTGTAATCGCATGGGGCCGAGTAAAATTAAGGTTTAATTTCACGCGTGTTTTCAAAGGTTTACAAATTGCCAATTTGTGAAATTTTGAAAACACCACGGTGTAATTAAATCTTAATTTTACGAGGAATTATCAATCTCGTACCCAGAGCAATGCCTGTGCGTGGGCTAGGATGGCATTGGCTCTGGGGAAATTGAATTTTTCCTGTGCTGTGATTGGTTTAACGTCTATCAATCATGCATGCCGACAAAGAACCGGAACCGTAAGTTAATTGTGAATTTGTCACACGCCTGACAAAAATGCATACAAAGCGCCAACGTGCTTTAACTTCTTTAAATTTCATCCTGTTTCTACAAAATTTTCCATGAACATAGAACATATCTACGATGGCCGAGAAGGGCCATGACTGTAAACACTCGCCGTTTTTTTACCATTACACTCGTCGTTTTTTTCCCTTCAGAATTGCACTCGCCGTTTTCTTCTTCAGAATTACACGCGACGTTTTTTTCAGTTATGATGCAATAATTACACGCGACGTTTTTTCAATGCAATATTACACGCGACGTTTTTTCAATGC